TCGTCGCCGCGGTCTTTTAACTTTCTCCCATTAATTTTCATTTTCTTTGCCATTTTTACACCCGCTCCGCCATTCTTTTCACACCGGGGTCGCATCTGGTCCGTTTTAATGTGATTTGTTGTTATACACCTCTAATGGCCGGTAACTTTTTCCTTGCCCGTCCCGCCACCGCCAAAACGAAATTCGCCTGGTCGACTGTACAGAAGAAAAAAAGTTTCCACACTCTAAAAGTCAACAACATGCTTCCAAAAACGATACCGTCTTCCACTACGTTTACCCGAAAAGAGGTTAGGAAGCCTCTTTAAAAATTATTGAGACCGAAACACATTTAGCGAAAAAATAATGAAAGGTAGGTACCTCATATATATGTCAATATTTCCGATGAAACAATACAGAAAAAATAAGTACAATGAATGTATAACTCTTAAAATAATAATGGAAAAAAAATGAAAGAACCATTATAAAATATTTAAAACAGTAAAATGTTTTATTATTATTGTTTATTAAGTTTTATAATAAATAAATAGCCCGAGGAGCAAGACAATTACTACCTACTAGACAAACAAATTATTATTTACATACTGATCATTAACTGATAACTACTATAGGTATACGAAGTTAGGTTAGGTATTAAATGATATCAGCATGACATCGTCTTTCTCTCGGCTCATTATTACGAAAACTACTTTAAAAAAAAAAATTTAATTAAAAGTACATATTATGATCTTATGCAACAAAAATCAAAATAACTAAAACCAATAAGTTCCATATTGTTTGTTTAAATTTATGATGTTGAGTTGATCAATTTTTGTCTGGTCATTGATAGAGTATGTTTATTGAAATTTATTTTGATGGTATAGCTAAGCAATCATAATTATTTGAATGTATAAATAATTCAAAAAAAGTTTTCCCACAGGCCGAATGAGAGTCCTGGTATCATTGACCCCCTTTGCGCACGTCAATGATTGATATTGGGAATAAGGCTTAAGTCAATATAATTTACAAAATATTTTTAGTTAAATTATCCTGATTATTCGTAACACAAAAAATATGTTCACCTTTATTTAATATGGTATAGTATTATTTGATGTACAAGTTATATTAACATTTATATGCATTAAAAATAAACCACATGTAGAGTTCATTACCACGTTTTAATTGATTAATTAATTAATTTGCCATGTTTATAAACTTATTTAAATCATTTCACAACTTTCAAGTTTCCATAATATTGTATAACTCATCAGTTAAATATTTTAAATTTAGATTTTAAGTGTACGTACAAAATAGAACCCACCAATCTTATAATAGTTATTTTTTGAAGGGATCATGACCAAAATATATGACACTTATATTATACGCATTTATGTGGATAGAAAATCTAATTACATTAACATACGCATACTAATATAAGAATAATTTAGGGTCTTGTAGTCGTTATTTTAAAATGTATATAGAAGGTATAATATAAGCTTATGAACTTTACATTGATTTTATGTCGAAAATAATAATATTCTGGGTATAGGTATACCGCACACAGATTATATAATAGTTCATATACCATCATATTATATTACAACTCAATTCTTGGAAGATATCAACATATTATTATAGTATTCTAGTTATAATAATATAAACCGTTATATAGAAACGTGACGACTGACGAACGATCCCTATGGGTTCGTCAGTCAAATTAATGGTTTAAAGATAAATTGGCTTCTAAATTATCCTTATTAGTAATACAAGGAGTTAGGTATTATATGTCTAGAAATTTAAAATTTTTTTAATTAGGAGGGTTTTATTTAAGCCTGAATAACATTACGAGCATATTATTATATACGTTGGCAAGCCTTGCACTTAGTATCCAACGAATCATCCGTTTTCCCGTTTTCCTAGAGTTGGGAGTAGAGTGTGGGACCCACCACTAATTACCTTAACAGTGACCAAAGCATTTCAAATTTCATAAGTTCCTCTAACATTTCTATGCATTTAATATTTAAAATTTACTGTTAGAATAGTCGCACATAATGATGAAGGCTGTATAATATTATAATATGTATAGATAAGTGAAGAGAAGCACTTCACATCACCTAATGAAATAATTTATAAACATTCTTAGCTTTAAAGGTATGCGTACAATTTGTTTTTTTTTTCATTTCAAAATATCGGTTATGTAATTACACATAATTATACAATTATTTAAACAGTAAACCCTGTTTATTCTACGAAGGTATTCATTAATGTATACTTTGGTATTTTCGTGTTTTTTTTAATGCGTTTTTCTGGAACTTTCGCAAATTAAACTGGTCGTGTTCAGTACTCGCAGTTTTATTAAAAATCGACCTTTTTAATATCTATTATTCCCCTGGCCACCCCACAATTACCCGTTCATCACTAAATTCTTACAATAGATACTTCGACATTGCAAAATTATTATAAACCAAAATAAAATATGACTTTTATTTTAATATAGAAAAAGGTATTACAAGCTCAGTGTTTCTGTATATATATATATACAGTGCACCCAGTATTGTCGTGCTCATCGTGGAAGGCCTCAAGCAGATTATCAAATGAACATTTTAGTAGAGCGATTAATATTTTGCAGTCCAATATTAATTAGTTATCATTCAGTGAAACATTTTATGAAGCACTCCTTATGCCTGCAATCGTTATGTTAAATACACGTGCATAGTTATTTCAGTACGTAATTTATTATATAAGTAGCTGGATTGTCAATCGGTTTTTATGAATATTTTATGTCGTCATACGAGTTATAATGATTTCAGATAATTAACAACTGTTTAAAATGACAAATATCAATAGAAAATTCAACTGTATGTAATATTGATATAATATAGGTATAGCTAGGCAGTATACAAATAAATCGATCAAACCTATTTCAATACAGTTTCTCATACGTACATACATAGTACAGTATAGTCAAAACGTGTAACATAAATTATTTTCTATATTATTGTAACTAAAATAAAATTATTTAAAATAATATACAATAAAATAAAAAATAAGAATGATATCATTGCACCATTTTTCTGGGATCAGCGGAAAATCTTGATAAAAATATCACCACTTAATATTATAATACAATCAGAACGGGACGGTCGACTATATATCAATTTGACAAGAAACATGTTAATTAATATAGTATAGTTCGGTTCTATAATAATAACAATAATAATAATAATATTATTATGATATTGCGAACAGTGGAGATACGCGCGAAATAGTGTTTGGACATACACCGATTCCCTCGGGCATTTGAGGGACATTTAATGTTGGAAATAGGTGACGGAAGAGTACCTCCACCGCCATACCACCAGAGGATAAGGAGTGTATAATATATAACTACGAATTTATGATTATAAAGCAATCGGCTGCAGAGAGGACCTGCCGGCAACTTTTGAGTGGTTCGCGAGTACGGAACGGACCCCGGTATAGGACGAAAGCGTTAATAATGAATTTATACAAACCATGACAGATAGACCCTGCAGTTAGTTCGCGGAATCGAAAATTTTATTGACGTCGATGTCTTCGGCTGTTCGGCGTGCAAAATTCAATTAAACGCCTGGACGGGTCTTAAAGGACGTTCCACGACGGAACGCAGACGACCGGAGTGGTTTCGGCGTGTAGAAGGAGCTAGGTATTGCTATATATATTATATATAGAGTGGCTGCGGCTTGAGGGGTGTGTGGCGTGCGCGTTTCCGATTGTCACCGCCACCGTGTGTAGGTGTGGGCAAACACAACACAAATAATGTTCCGTCGCCCCGACAAACCCCGATGACGAATCATTTAAGCTGGTTGGCGCGGGGAGAGGTAGAAGAGGGGAGAGAGGTATAGTTGATATTATCAAGCGTACCAAAAACGAGAATGAAAAGAAACGAAATCATACGCATTCCGTACAGAAGAACATTGCCGTTGACGTTACGCGAGATAATAAATAAATACACGACGTCGCCGCCGCCGCCGTTGGGTGTAGGGAATGCGTTTTTTGACGCAGAAATAGTGCGCTTCCGACAAATCGAGTAAAAGGGAATTTTATATTATTGTAAACTTCTACATGATTAACTTCGAATAGGAAATGTGTTCGCAAGCACAGTAGCTCTGGCGGAGGACGGAACGAGAGAGTAGTAGACGACTCCAGTTTCACGCCAGAAACGGCGTACGAATAACCGTAGTCTAATGGGAGGATGTTGGGGGGAGGGCGGTTGAGCGAACGAACACTTGGCAAACCCTCTGCGAAATAGAAGTTAGGAGAGAAGTAAAGGAATAACAAACACAGTGGTTGATGGCCGGAGGGTGAAGAAACATTATTTCTTTTCCATGCGCCGAGCCGCCCGCTGAAAGACTGACGGACGGACAGCCGAGGTTTTCAAATACGCGAGGTGACCGAGTTCGGTCGGCCACGATTTATCGTGTCGTACGCTCAATATTATACAGTGGCATAATTATTGGTGGGTTGGAGACACTTAGAGTGGAGGAAAATTTCCTTACAGGCACTTAATTTTTTTTTTCTTTTTGGCTAGGTAACTTACCAGTATTCCTATGGTGATGTATACAATATTCTAATTATGTAATCTACAGTGACTGTAGATTCTACACTGTTGCATAATATAATGTTCTTTCTACTAAGTAAAAAAAAAAGTGATCATGTTTATTTTTATTTAAACATAGTACAATCCTAAATGCGTCGATCGTTGATTTATATACATTTTGTTGGTAGTTTAGTATTCGTTAAAACTATATTATTGATGCAAATTATTATAACTAAAAACAACAAATATTTTCAATGTAATCTGAAAACTTGTCCTATTTTGAATACTGAAGAGGACTGTCTTAATAAATTAATTGTTTGGAAATGTAAATTAATATTTTTTTTCTCTTATCCGATGCCGTATAAGCGTTTATGTTACCGACTTCGCTTAATATTTTGATCCACAAAACCAAACTATGTAACTAATAGTATTAGTGAAATAGATACTTTCACTCACCATCGTACACTTCTAGCTTGGCGTTCGCGCTGACTGCGTCCCCCACGCCGTTCTCGGCGAAACACTCATAGACCGCGTTGTCCCGGGGCGCCCGAGTCGGCTCAATTCGCAACACCGAGCCAGTCTCGCTGTCGCCAACCACCTTGTCAACGATCTCGTACCTGCTCAGCGACGTCGACACCTTTTTCAAATTCTTCCGCCAGTAGATGGTCGGTCGAGGATCACCGCGGGCGCCACAGTAGAAAGACGCCACGCCGTTGCTCTTCGCCTGCTGCGGTCTCGGCTTCACTGTCAGCGAGGGAGGCTCTGCGGACACAAAAAAGAAAAGGGATGAATAAAATAAATTAACAAATTTACAAGCGCGATGAATAGAAAAGATTTTCTGTTCGACGCACGAGATGATGCCGATTCAAATTTCCTAACTCACGGCGGTTTCCTCGTACGACTATTATGCGTAAACATACGATTTTTAGGTACATAGGTTACTGGAATTCCATATTTTTTATGTTCGCTGCACCTTGTGATACATATTATTATTATGCACAACCAATGCCATATCCAGCGGATCTTATCATAGACCAAATTTGATTTTGCTTTTATATTTGTATACTTGGATGTTTAAGGCATATTTGAATATACAATTTATATTGCATATACCATATTTTGCATATTTCATATTATATTTACTACTGGCAATTCATTAAATTATTTAATAAGTTAAATATCAAAGTTAAATTATAAATTATTTTATTCTCTAATTATGAATTCATTTACACTACATTGATACTTAAACAATTGTTTGATGAGCAAAAATTTAAAATATTTTATAAAAATGTTATACCGGTAGGTTTATTACACTGTTTTTATATTTTAATTTATTTGAATAACTATAGTATATAAGTATTTTGGTATTTATCTGTATATTGTTTAGGTACCTACTTGTTTTGTTAAAATACTATAAATGATAAATAAATATAAATGTAAAATACTTATCTAATAATTGTATTATTGAACTTAATAATAAAACCTGATTTAAAATTAAAATAATAGATTTTAAATGTTAATTGTTCACAATGTAGATTTATTATAATAAAATTGGTGTATTATGTTCATTTTTACCTTGCATATTTATGAAATTCTTAAATTATTTTTTTAATAAAATTATTAATGCATATACTCCAGTCTCTACTTAAGGGGCCGTTAGAGTTACATTTGTTTTCTCTGCTTTACAAGTGCGTAACATAGTAAATTTTACGCTAAGCAAAACACGTTTATCTCCCGTTAGCTTAAAAAATATAGCTAATTGACCTCTTATAAAATTTAAAGGTAAGATTATTATCTAAACAATGACACAGGCTTTTTATTATTTTAATTTTAAAGCGAGTTATATGTATTTTAAAATTGTAAACTGTTTGTACATCTTAAAATACTCATAACTCGCTTTAAAATTAAAATATAATAAAAAGCCTATTTTATTGTGAAGATAATAATTTTACCTTTAAATTTTATAAGAGGTCAATCTCCTCTAGTTTTTAAACTAACAAGAAATAAAAGTGTTTTGCCGAGTGTAAAATTTTCTATGTTACGCACTTGTAAGACGGAGACAACAAATGTCACTGTAACGTTCCCTTAAAGATATGCATTTACTATAGGCCACCTGTACGCGTTATATACCTATGGGTTTGGTTAGGTAGTCGCGTGCAATTACAAACGTTTGTCTTTCCGTCACGAATGTCGGCAAAAATGTAATTCCGATTTAATGCGTTTTATAGTTTGCCTTCACAAATACGTTGCAGTATAATACTTCCTTGATTACTCTCGTGACACGATCTATGTTTATTGAATTAAGAAATATACCAAAAATTGAATTACATAATAATGGTTTAAATCAATAAAAATAGTTATTTACATTTCGAATAAACATAATATCTGTGTCAAGACGATTTACTGTTTTAATACGATGCAACTCATCTCTCCCCTAAAATGGCTTTAAATTATTTTATGTTCATTAAAGCAGGTACTTTAAATCTATATATTATTAAATAATGTGTACATAGTTTTCCGTAATTTTAAAAATACGAGGATTATGTGTTTATATGCTTGGAGATTTACTTTGTCAAACATTTGACGGACAAAACTTATTGGATATATGTAATTCGACCAAATAATACGATTTTACATTTTTTTTTTATTTTTTTATATACTGCGTTTATATGAAATATGGCTGAAAACGTTGGTAATTTCAAACGATGAATTCTAAATATAAAAATATAAAAGCCACAGGAAATATATACATACCACAAAGACCTAAATTAAATAATTGTAATACAATGAAAACTATTTTGAACAAGTTTTAACAAGACTTAGCCGGGATATTCTAAAACTACGAACCTTTGAGATTCAAAAACTTTTCATGTTCTCCCTCATTTACTGAAATCCGTGAAAGCCGTACGTATGATAATCTTTACCGTAACGGCATAACAAATTTGGATTCATATTAAACCATTTTACGTGACATAGGGCATCTAAGCTATATAATAACTCCCTTTTTTTTTTTTTAATCCAAGTCATTTTAAAACAATGAAGCCTTCCGTGGTCTAACAGTGTTTTAAAAATGCACCCCCCAAATAAAGGACCAACCACGGAATGACATTTCGGACATTCAAGGCATCTGCGAGATAGTTTAAACATTCATCCTCCGTATTTTTTCAACTTGCTCGTCCTTAGCGGAAGTACGTATAGTATAGTATATAGTATAGTATATATAATATATAGTTATACAGTCGTAATATTGTTACTATTATTATTATTATTAATATTAATATTAATATTATTACTGTATCCCTGGTTACAAAAAGTTCGAATTTTTGATACTTCTCTAAACAAACTTCTTTGGGTCACTTAAGCTATATATCTCTGGCTGACATACACGAAACAGCATAAATTCGTTAGATAACTTTTTTTTCTCTTTTTAACCTTTGGATTATTCATAGCAGTTTTTTTTCACTAAAACAGTAGAAATGAATTCAAGACTTTTGACTTGATACTTTTTTTCTATCTCAGTGCGACATGAATATTTATGTTTGAAATATTTCACGTTTTCTTCCTTGTGTTGACAAATAACAAAGGTTATTTATTGCAGTGTAATATACTTACGTGTCAAGTATTGGATAAATGGAAATGCGGAGAAGTTGGCGCCTGTAAACATTAGGAATACCACGTGCAATATTACCGAACCAACAGAAACCGAAAAATTATCCGACCCAGACTTAGATGCTTTAAATTTTTAATACCTTAAGTGTTTACAAGAACCTAGGGACCTTTAAGGACAGCATGTTTGGCAAAAGAAGCTTTTAAATGTACTTTGTTAAGGTAAAGAGCCCAAAGTACTTTTTTCAATAAAATATAAACTATAGGTATTACGTGGTTTTTAACGTTTGTCTTATTCAACGAAAAAGATAGGGTTATATTTTTCCGGTCCTCCGACGAGCAGAAAAATGGTGCCTAATTTAAATTGCAAAAATAATTCCCAGATTCGGCAAGTGTATTCTTTATACAGCAGTCTTATTACACTAGGATCCCATGTCTGTTTCCCGACCGCTTGACATCAATCAAAATCCTATTGTCTGTCCCTTTATAAATATTTATACCAACGGTGAAACGGTTATTTTTCACTTTTTCATGAATAAATATATAATTAAAAAAAAAAAACCGAGACGTGTCAGAATTAATTAAAAATAAGAAGTTTCAGTAAAGCAGCGGCAAAATTAATAGTTGTTCGGTGTAATAAAGAAACGTTAAGAGAGATGCAAGCAATCTATCGGAGTCCTGGGACAATATTTCCCGCCCTTGATCGTGTTGTTAAAAATAATAAAGTAAATAAATAATAATAAAACAAAAAGTTGGAACGCAGTTTTGGTAAACCTATCAGTTGCAGGTACATCATAATATTCCTATCGATTTAATACCTACAACAACACTTAAAAACAAAACAGTGATTATGTATATAAAAAACATTATGAGAAAGTATACAGACGACAGTCCAACAATATATTGACATTTCATAATACTTTTAGGCGTGTTTTCAACAATGAAAACATAAACGTTTTATCGATTTTGTACACACAAACATCATCTAAATTATTTTAAATGCATAACTCCGGTACAGGTTTTGCTATAAAATGCATGGGTATTAATTAAATGTATAACATATATTCTTAATGACTAAATAAATGAATATAAGCTACTTATATTACTTTTGCTTATCTAACGACACATATTCTGGTTTAAATGTTTAGTTCACGTTATATGTTTAAAAACGAATGTCAGGTCATCCTCATAGTACCTAAACCAAATGATAATAATAGATACCTACGCATTGATTAATAATCAGCGCGTTTTAATGTATAAACCCCTTCGGTTTAATAGAATCTATTCTGTTATAAAAAGAATGTAGATTGTTTTTCTAGAATAATAGCGCATAATATTTCGAAAGTTGTTCGTTATTTTACTATACATACGATTACGAAACAAGTCCAAAAACGGCTAGGTACTACTATATAATATGAACCCGACGCAACTGAGATTCAAAAAGGTATCTGCTGGCATGCGACATTTGATACCAACCAAAACGGCGTCGACGATATAAACCCTAAATAGATCAAAAGAACAAACATATAAAACATGTGCGGGCAATGATTAAAAATCAAACAAGGGATTTCCTTTGGAAATTCGACCATTGAGGTGTGTTGTACGACGGTATATCACGTGGAAGGAGGGGACTCGGATATTGGTCCCATGAATATTCTATCGACTTTATTCAAGAAACCTTTTGCTGATTTTTGATATACCAGTGAGAATTATTTATTTAATATTCTTATATAGACGGCGCGCGGCGGACGGTGGTACCAAACTTTACGTATAGGAAAGTAAACCCGTCCATTCAATTATTAATGTGTCATTCCATCCGAGGGCACTACTGTAATTTTCTCTTATTCGATCTCGGTAACAAGCAACAAATTGAAGTCCGCCGCTACACTGTATAGAATTTTTTTTTTGTACATACAATTCGTTATTCGCGTCTTATAAAGGTCTGAGTTTGTTAAAGAGTACACCGAATGCCATTATTATCTCTAGTTTAAAGTTCTTAAGTAAAAAAAATAAAAACATGTTTATTTTAATGCCAATGTTTAATAGAAAACATTTTAAAAGAGATTTTTAAATGACGTTGTGTGTTTATTTTGCATTCTAGAAAGGAAATAGAAACTTTCAGGTAATTTTCACAAATTCCAGTAATTAAATTATTGACATTTTCTCATCACTCAAATCGATAGCCTATCGTCGAGATTAACATCGACATCTTTTAGAACACATGCGCGCACCTGTTGATCGACCGAGTTATGTTCGGAATGATCGTCTGAGGTCGTTAAAATTGAATACAAACATCACTGCAAATATTTGGTGAATTTGCAAAAGATGGGCAGCATACGCGTTATGATGGTATCTCAAAGTATAAATTAATATAGCCAAGGGGCCCTTATAATAGTCCTAAAAACACAATTCATAAACCATAAAAGTTTAATCATACCTTATTTTAAAGTATGTTTGTTCGGATGGTTTTAAGTATATGTGCGTATAATAGGTCAATTAATAAGATATTAAATAAGATAACGGTAATGAACTGCAATTAATTATACTGTAAATGCAATTATGCGATAACTTTACGGACATTTAAATAAATATATTTATGTAAAATATTAAAATAATTGATTACATCATTCGACTTTGAAAGTATAGTTATATATTATATATATGATACGGTATTAATTTAAAATAATTATATAAATGGTATATAAATTTAATAAAAATGTCAAAAAAATTATTAAATAACATTTCAAATTTTCTGTATTTAATAAAATTAATTAGCGAACAAATTATCATGATATAAACCCAATCAAGGAAAATTAAGGTTGGTGACAATTGTAAAATAAATATTAAACACTTTTTAATTATTTTGATAAGTAAATATAAGATTTTCTCAAACTAATAATTATATAGGACATAGATAATCATGAAAAATATGAAAGGAAGGTACACTTCAGAAAGTATCAAAATGGATGTATTTTTTTTTACTTTTTATTCAATCCTTGTCATATAGACAACTAGAGAATAACTCTTTTGAGCTATCATTTTTATTTTAAATCTTTTGATATTAGAAAAATTATAATTGATAACCTGGCGATTATTAGAGAATTAAAATGAAATTGATTGATGATACCGGACCGAATAATGGAGGATTAAAAATAACCACTCGTATTTAAACTATTTTTTTGCCCGAATTTAATTTTAACGAAAGTTAATTTAATTGGAATTTTTAAACCTGTCTCATTTTGCTTTTGTATTTTCACCACGATCAAAAAAAATATATATAAACTAAAAAAAAGACCTCCGTCCAAATCGGAAATCAGACTGACGGCCGTTGGGAACAGTAAAATAATATGACTCACTGGGGTAAAACTAGACAAATTCGTAATAATTAATAACTGTATTTTTTTTCTCTCACGTTCAACTGTTCCCCTAAAATATTCTTTATTCCGTACACATTGATAACGAACATGTTACTTGTCAACCATTTGACAGGTAAAATCATAATTGTTTTATTATCCTAATTCGATGTGAATGTCAATTTAGCGAAGAGCAACGAATGCACCATTATTTTTTTACAATTATTGTCATGCGATAAGTTTTAACCATTTTAATTTCCCTATTCAATTAGGTATAGTTTAAATAAATACAAGGAAACACCGAGAAAGAAAAAACTGAACATGTATTGATATTTTAGATACGATATTTTATTGAAAAATACTCTATCAATACTAAAGCGTCTGTGATAAAGTATAACAAATAAAATTATCAAAACAGTGAAATATATAATATGCATATAAGTTATAAAAATAGAGATAATAATGTATGCGAATAACAATTATTAGTAGTTTGTTTAGATATTTAATCGGTGGTTCAAATGTAAAAAAGATTATTTCCTAAAACATGGTTAAAAAAATAAAATGAAAAAATGAAAGAAAAGTTTTGTTTCGTGCAGAATAAATGGTTCGAAAGAGGGTTTTAACTTATAAAAATTATAAAGTTTTTATCCTTGTACAACTAGAAAGCATATAAATTATTAAAACATCACTACACTTTTTGGACGCAAATTTTCAAATATATTTCACTAGAATTTCATTTAAACTCTCTTTAGAAAAAATAATGTAAACAATCATATTTTTAAAACAAAGTATTCAACGTTTGAAAGTTAAACTCAGTGCATTTCGTTGTCCATTAATAAAAAAAGCTGACGACAAATTTAAATTTTGGTAGGTATTTTAATTTCTTCAAATTTAAAAAATAATAATAATAAACTAATCATCTAATACTTAATATACTGTTTATAATTTGAATTATTATAACTGTTAAAGTATTTATTTTTATCTGTTAGCTCGGAAAGAAGTATTGCAGACACTTGTCACGCTAAATGTGTGTACCAACATAAAAGAATAAACAAAAGAATGGAACAAATAAATTTTTGTTATCTCTATCTTCTAGAATTTCCAAAAAAAAAAATGGAAAAAATATGTTTCTAGTCGACAGATTTTCGGCAGGACAGAGTACTTCAATTATCGGAGCTAAAGTCACTCTGTTGCTGTTGAATCCCACTATATCACGTACACAGTAAAACACTCCCACCACTATTTGTCTTCACAACTACAACTATAACTATACAACTACTACCAATACTTACTACTACTACTACTACTACTACTGGGCGGGTTTAGTGCGGCACTTAACGTAGTGTCAGCTTGCGAACCACTTTAAAAACGTCCGGTGTAAAACAGCTGTAACCCCCACCCCTAACCTAACCACCCACCATACAACCTCTTCGCTGTTGTTTATCATCGGGGGATCGGCCAACCGACTAATTTGTAACGTGCGGGACCAGAGTTTTTTTTTATTCCCTTTCTTTATACTTCTACTTTTTATTTATATATATATATAATATATATACAGAAAAACACATACATTGTGTAAGATTTTCTCGACCGGATGCTGGTAAATTACACAGCTAACGGGTTTTTTGCCGCCCCGTCAGCAATACAAAAGCTCCCATAGTCACTTTATCACCTGTAAAAATCTTTAGTGGACTTAACGCGCGCA